CCTAACCCTAGGAAACCCTAAAGCTTATATATTATTCGTAAATTACAGAAAATTAGGTCCAAGCCCATAAAAGTGCCGCTCAGCGGTAAAGTACCGCTCAGCGGTAAGTGTGTGAGTCATTTCTTCCCCTCAGCGGCCATTTTGCCCCTCAGCGGACCTCCCGTGACTTCCTGAGTGCCGCTCAGCGGTAAACTGCCGCTCAGCGGTGACTTCGGCTTCCCCTTTTGCACTTTTTGATGTCTTTTCTGATTCCATCTCTCTCCTTCTTCACTTCTTTCACCAAATTCACCTTAAAACCTGCACAAAAACACTGAAATCAAGCATAAACCTGTCCAGCTCTCTTATTTATGAAAATATGAAGAAAAGCATGATTTCAAGCTAGTTTCTAAGTATAAAGGTTACTTTTAATATCAATTTTAAGCATGAAAATAACAGTTTTTCAACTGTTATTAGTCCTAAATTTTGTAAAATCGTAACAATTAAATCCTTTCCGTTAAGTGGTTAGAAATGGCGTCGAGAGATGCTGACATGTTGCATAGTAAATATGCTTATGTGAATGTTTTTATTACGTGGAATTAATATTTAAATTAAGATGGTGTATTAGTTTTCGACATGGCCTTATGTACAACATAGTTAAAAAAAAATTAGGAATTTTGTGCAATTGAGATTAGAGATTTTTGAACTGAATAGGTGTTAAGACCTCGGCAAGTGTACCGAATCATATCAAGTAATAATAAATGGTAAGACCAAGTACCGTTTCCCAAGAAACTCACGACACTAAACAATAATGTAATTACTTAACTAATTAAGACTTTGAAGAACAATTTAGGGTTTTTTAAATGTAAAAATAAGAAGGTAAATATAAATGCAATTTTGATCAATTGAAGAGAAACACAAAAGTGAATGATGATGTTTGTACTATGAGATGAAGATGTTGTTGGGGTTTAGATTTCACCTAATCACTCTCATGCTTATAAGAATTCTTCTTCTTTATTAAATGTTAATGCCACTTTATAAATTACTTAGAACCCGATGTCTCGGCGAAAGAATCCTATCCTCAATTACTAGACCACAATGTCTTGCATCCCTAATAATTAATTTTTCATTACGAACGGAAGCTTAAGACAACTAAACGTTCTAGCCCTATGTCTAAGCAATAGTTCCCTTGGGAGAAATTCCCCAGTTCAAGGTTTCTAGGTATTTGTCAATAACATATTCATCTCATATTAAACAACATCCATTCTTATATACATGAGTGGAAACTTGGTGAAATCTAACCCCAACAACATATTCATCTCATATTAAACAACATTCATTCATCTCTATGTTACTCTACTATTGATCAATTTGCATTCATATTTTATTTTATGTTTTTGCATCTCAAACCAATGATATCGTTTTGTTTAAGTCTTAATTAATTAATTTATCACACGACTGTTTAGTTCCGAGAGTCTTCTGGGATACAATACTTGGTCTTATCATTTTATATTACTTGTGCGATTTGATACACTTTCCAATCCATCAACAAGTTTTTGGCGCCGTTGTTGGGGACTCACGTTTTAAACTATTCTATTTGTGTGATTCTTAATTAATTTTGGCTTTCTTCTATTTTACTTTATTTGATTTGATTTGATTTGATTTGATTTTATATTATTTTATTTTCATATCTTTTATTTTATTTTTATTTTTGTTTTGTGCTAACAATATTTTCTAGGGTTTTGTGTTTAATGACGACAGGATGAAACTCAGAAAAGAAATTAATTATATGGGCACTCAATTCCACCAAGGTATGCTATCGGACAATTTTATAGAGAACCACAACAACAATGGAAGCAACAACCCTCTGTATCAGAAAGATGGGCTAAGATTGATGACTGTTAGGAATCTGAGAATAATTTCCTAACCGACACCTCACTCACTGATACGCACTCTCACACAACAGAAAGAATCAAATAATGGGTATATTATTCACTGTAAAGAATAAAGAGAACACATGTAAGACGAGGGCCTAACCCCTATCACCAGGTCCTGAAACCGGTCTATACAAATTATATCATTTTCTCTGCCCCCCACAGTATAATGTGTTATTTCTTTTATACCCATACTTCCCGTCTTATCCTAACTGCCTACTCTTTTTCCTTTCTTCTCTCATAAACTATCCAACTCCTAACATTAACCCCATCCTGAAAATCAACCTTGTCCCCAAGGTTGAATTCTGGAAACTGCTTGTTGCTTCATCCACCCTTCCTTCATTCCCTTCTAAGAGCACTTGCTCTCTTAACTCCTCTTCGAGTTGTTGTTGTCTTCTATTCAAAACACGTATTGGCTAGCAATGAAAACTTTCCATCTTGGTAATATTTAGTATGAGGGCAACTGGAAGAAAAATTAAAACATTGAAAAGCCCAAGATATCCCAGAAACCGAGTTGTACTAGCTTCACCACTCTTTCCATCACTATCCAGTAATTTCATGCAAATAAGAGTTATATAAACTGCATATAATCCCAAGAATGTTAGGGAGACCAAGAAGGTAAGAAGACTGGATGCGCTGCTTAAGATTGTGTTTGATGTGACTATAGTATACTTCAATGACAAGTTAAAGGTAAGTTGAGCCAAAAACCAAAATGGGTAGATTAAAAAACTAACTTTGGCCACTCTACACCGACTCCACCGCCCTTTCTCACAAACGGATGATCAAAATTTTCAATCACATTAACTTGATCATCAACCAATACCCTTGTCACTATCTTAGTGTTAGGAATCTTTAGCAAGGGCTAAGGTGCTATTACTTCCAGCGCCAAGGTCGGGTGCCCTCTGATTATCACTTCTATTCCTCCTTGTTTGAAGGACATGGTCAACTTGTACCAATTTGTCACTACCTCCCCCAACTTAGCTAGCTAATCCACTCCCAAAATCAGGTTGACACCCCCTAATTCGAAGACATGATACTGCTCTATAATCTCGACTCCTCCAATCTGTAACACTACCCCCCTATAACGACCTTGAGTTTGTTTCCTCTATCCGTCCCCCAAACAGATCAAATGAATCTGGCCTTTATCCATCCCCAGTTGAAACTCCTCAGCCAACACTTTGGATATAAAGTTGTGACTAGCGCCACTGTCAACCATGATCAACACCACCCTGTCCCCCAAACTCCCTTGAAGTTTCATGGTTCTCGGCTGGGTCAATCCTCCTACCGAGAGAAAGGATAATTCTAGCCGCTTGTGTTCCACCTCTGCCTCGTTTTCTCTAGGGTCTTCCTCCTCATCCTCACCCAAAATTAGCACCCTCAAGCTGCTTTCCGGATAACGGTTACCAGGGCCAAATTGCCCCCCACACCTGAAACAACGTCTTTCTTCCCGTCTCTTGAGATATTCGTGATATGGAAGGTTTCGCACTCTCTACCCATGGTGTTGTTCCCCGTAGCACTCGCACCCCTCCCCGTAGTCTGTCCTGAGTTTCCATCTCTTCCCCCAGAGCCTACATTCTCTGTGTCGGCCGTCCGTCCCTCTGGATTGCGCATCGGTTCCACTCGGGTTATCGTCCCCGACATTCGTCCCCCCGATACTTGTGGTCGATTTGCGCCTCCTCCTCAAGTCTTAGCTCCTCTCGGTAGAACCTCCACATCTCTCGTGATTCGCATCACCGTCATGAGTTCTTGTGGATCATGCAGTTGCACTCGATTCCTCGCGTCTTCTTGTAAACCCCCGAGGAAATAGCCTAGGAGTTGCTCGTCCGTCACCCCGCTTGTTTGCCCCACCAAAATCTCGAAGTCTTTGATGTACTCCTCGACCCTCTTAGTCTGACAGTTCGCCATGAGCCTTTCAAACATCGAGCCCCGGTTCCTCTCCCCAAATCTTCCGATCATTGCACATTTTAGCTATTCCCATGTACGATTTGTCGCTTTTTCCTGCCAGAACCGATACCAATAGCCAACACTCCCATCCATGCTCACATATGCGATGTTGACCCTCTCTTCCTCTGTCACTCCTTGTAACTCGAAGAAACGCTCTGCCCAATTTATCCAGTTCAGAGGATCCACTCTATCAAATTCGGGAAGCTCCACCTTCTTCCTCCAATGGAACTGTCCCTCTGTTCGATCCACCTCGCGCCCTCCATTCTCACCCTCTCGCCTCGTCCTCCACATACCGTTCAGCGATGCTTGACTCCCTCTGATCCATCTTCGTGTTCACGATTGCGATTCCCCAACATCTGAATGATTTCCTGAAGATCCTGGCGAATGGCCGCTGAGTCTTATCTTACCGCTACGTTTTCAGCCTTCAATCTATCTACTGCAATCTCTATCGCTTTGAGCTGGTTCTCCACCACGTTTAGACGTCCTTCATTTCTTCCCTCCATTACTCCGATCTCTCTCCGCAAGGATCCGACAGGTCGGACCACTCTGTTAGGAATCTGAGAATAATTTTCTAACTGTCTTCCTCACTCACTGATACACACTCTCACACAACAGAAAGAATCAAATAATGGGTATATTATTCACTATAACGAATAAAGAGAACACATGTAAGACGAGGGCCTAACCCCTCTCACCAGGTCCTAAAACCGGTCTATACAAATTATATCATTTTCTTTGCCCCAAAGTATAATGCGTTATTTCTTTTATACCCATACTTCCCGCCTTTTCCTAACTGCCTACTTTTTTTTCTTTCTTCTCTCATAAACTATCAAACTCCTAACAATGACACACTTCAACAAATAATGCAGATGTCTGATTCTCATCATAAAAGGAATCAAGCAACATTCACAAGGATAGGGAGTAAGCTTGATCACATAATTCAGAAGCTGGATGATCTTGGGGGCAATATGGAAATTAGGTCTAAAGAGGAATGCAACGCCGTTATCACTTAGAGTTTGAGCGAAAAAGAGAAAGATGAAGAGAAAGAAGAAGAAGAGAGTGAGATAAAAGAAATAGAAGAAGAGAGTGAAGAAAAAAAAGAGAGGAAGAAGATGAGAGAAAAATAGAGAGAAAAGGAAAAGAAAGTCTGAGTGAAAAAGAGAAAGATGAAGAGAGAAAAGAAAAAGAAAAGGTTGAGAGAGAAAAGAAAAGAATTGAGAAAAATCTTTTGTACCCTAAGGAGTGTTCCAAAAAGGAAAAAGAGAGGGAAGAAAAGAAAAAGGGAGAGGAGGATGAGAGAAAAAATAATAATCATATGAAAAACCCCTTCCTCACCCAAAGAATTATCATAGGAAGGAAAAAGAAGAGCTCTTCATGTAAATCTTCAAGAAATTAGAGGTTAAAATTCATAGGATTAGGGCATTGCAACAGGTTCTTGATTATATTAAATTCCTAAAAAAAATCAACAAAAAGAAAAAAAATATTCAGAAAAGGGAACAATTGAGGCATATGGCAATTGCAGTGGGTCAAGCCATTTCTTTTTATCTTTCTATTTTTTTATCTTTTTTAGTATTATTTTTTCATCTTTTTATCCTTTTTATCTTTTTTTTTATCTTTGTATCTTTTTTTCTTTTCAATTTTTTATCTTTTTATCTTTTAAATTTATTGTTATCTTTTTATCTTTTATTGTTTTATCTTTCTATCTTTTCATCTTTTTATCTTTCTATCTTTTATCTTTTTATCTTTTTATTTTTTTTAAAATTTTTTATCTTTATCTTTTTATCTTTTTATTTTTTTTATCTTTATCTTTTTATTTTTTTTTACTTTTTCTCTTTTTATTTTATTTTTTTCTTTTTATTTTTTTTCTTTTAGTACTAATTGGGTGTTCTAGTGCAGTGTTTTTGTAGTGTTTGTAGGATTCAGATAACAACATCTATTAATGGATGCCGCCACGATGAATGATAGCCCATTTTTCTGAACCTTTCTTTTTAGTTGATTTAATTGTGTGGTTTTGATTTGATTTTTTTTTTGCGTGTTTGAGTTTTTTAGGTTAAATGTTGCTTTTGATGGCAGTAATGACAACATCTACTGATTGTTGTTGCTATGATGAGCATGATGAATGATAGCATCTATTGATGGATCTTACTGATGGATGTTATGATGATTAAGATTGGGTCAAGCTAGTGACGTTAAAGAAGCGCTTGCTGGGAGGCAACCCAGTTTTTTACAAACTTTTATTTTATTTTTCTGTTTTTGTTTTATTGTTTTGGTTAATTGTATTTTGTTTCTATTTTTTTTTGTACTTTGCTTGAATGAACTTCACTACTTTGATTCAATTATGATTGTTTTGTGATAAGTATTGCTTTGTGATATTCTAGTGTGTGGATTGAGGTTGAGATGATGCATGATGTGTTGATATATAGGTGATAGCTCACAGAGTATGAAACAAGTGCTTGAGGTTAAACTTGATTTAGATACTGAGCATGATGCTTTTCTGAATTTTAGGACTTAAGAGTTTACGTGTGTGAGTTTTGGGCTTCAGAGTTGTTGTGAACAATTGCTATTACTTTGGAAGCATGAATGATTTTGCCCCAATTTTCTGTGATTGAACTACTTGTTTACAGGTTCCATATGATTAAGGCCATCTTTTGTTATCCTTAATTTTTTTTAGCCTACTCATGAATTTTTCAAAATAAAAAGAGATCAGTTTGTTCCATCCTTTGAACCTTTAGCATTAAGCATGCTTTGAAAACCCTGTTTTAAATTCTTTACCTTGAGTTGAGTTGAGAATATTTGTGAGGTATTGATAAAGGTTCAAGTTTGGGGTTGCTAAAAAAATAAGCAGTGAGCACAAAGAAAAAGAAAAAGAGAAATCAAAAGAAAAGAGAAAATAAAAAGAAAAGCTCACTACAAGGGAAAAGGTTGGGAATAAGAAAAGGATATTCTTGAAAAGAGAACCTGTATGTAATTGTTAAATTCATAAATATCTCTCTTAACTCAAAGATTTTACATTCTTGAAAAACCATGTTTCTTCTTAGCCCAACCAAGTTACAAGCCAAGAAAAGCCCTTGTGATAAAAACCTTCTTGTGAGTATGTTTGATTTTGGTTAAATGAAAGGCAAAATATTTGTGTCACATTGTGATAACAGAGTGAAAGAAACACCAACACCTCACTATACACTTTTGAGTGCTTGGGTGATACACTTTTGAGTGCTTGAGTGAAACACTTTCTTTGGTGAAGAGTAGTTCTCTAAATTTCTCATTACATCTCTGCTTGGTTGATTGATCATTCTTAAGAATAGCATCTATTGAAACATATGAGCATCACATTAATTTTAATTGAATTAAGACATCTGCACATCTTGACTGACATCTTTATGCTGAGTTGATAAAAGTGATCTCTTGTCCTGGAAGAAAAAGTTTTTGAAAAAGGTTGAGTCATTGTAGTGATTCTGAAAAGCTAAGTTACAATTTGTTTTGCTTGATGACAAGCAAAGTTCTAAGTTTGGGGTTGTGATAACTGTTTAAAATATTGTTATCTGTGATGTAATTTTGATACTAAATGCACTCTTTTTGACTTAGAAACTTGTTTAACTCATGTTTTTGCTTTAGTTTTGTGAATAAGAGAGTTGAGGTTATACTTGATGATTTTATCACCAAATTCCCTTGATTTTGTAGGCTATATGAATGATTTGAAGGAAGAATTAAAGTACCAAATAGTCGGAATGCAGAAAAGTCAACCAGAGTGTAGAAAAGTCAACTAGAGTGCAGAAAAGTCAATTGCGAAGCTTGGGCGGCCAGAAATCGACGTCCACCGCCCGGGCGGCGAAAAAGGTGCGCCTAGGAGACGTGGGTTGAATAGGCCCATTTTTTGCTCTGTTTCGACTCTTTTGGACCGGACCCTATTTCTACTCTTTTCCGACTATATTTAAAGGATCCCGATGCTCTAGGTTTGGTATCTCTAGCTGGAGAAACACAACAGCAAACTCTTCTACTCTCTGAAGGCGGATCTGGAGGCGGAAGCTTCCTCTTCTACTCTTAGGGTTTTACCATCTCATGCTTTTCCATTGTACATCTAGTTTCTCCATGTCTGTGGGGATCTAAACTCTATTTATTATTGGGGAATGATGTAACCTTGTGAACTCTCATGTATTTGAATTGATTTTTAATTATATATGCTTTATTCATTAATTGCATGATTTATGAATTGCATGAGTGCTGGGAGGTTCCTTACAATTCAGGTTCTTGTTGAATTCTCCCAAGCGTAATATTTCTCAGGAATGAGGGTATGAGTACTTGGTTGTCTTAAGCTCT